CTCCCCCTCCTCGTCCTTCTCCTCCTCCTTTTCCTCCATCCTCACCCTCCTTCTCCTCCTCCACCTCCTCCTTCTCCTCTTCCTCATCCTCCTCCTCCTCTTTCTTCTTCCTCCTCCTCCTCGTCCTCTTCCTCCCTCCTCCTCCTTCTCTTCCTGCTCCTCCTCTTCCTGCTCCTCCTCCTCCTCCTCCTGCTCCTCCTCCTCCGCTTTTTCCTCCATCCTCACGTCGCTCTCGCGTTCATCCTCGCTCCCTCGGCGCGCTGCGGGCGAGCTCAGTGGGCGCGGCGCCCCTGGGCGCGGCTTGCCGCCTGGCCTCCGTCTGCTGGGCCGCGCGCCGCCGTGCCCGCGCCGCGCGCGGCGGGCGGCGCCAGCGGCGCGGCGCGGAGCTCGCCGCGCGGCTCCCAGCGGCACGACGGCTCCCTTCTCGACGGCGAGCGAGGGGGGAAGTGAGAAGGAGGAGTCCGGAGGCCTTCTCAGAAGGCGGTGGGGCTTCTCAGAAGGCCTCCAGCCTTCTGACAGGTTTTCTGCGCCTGTGCGGAAGGCTTCGAAGACTTCTCAGAAGGCCCGGGGATGTTTGAGCCTTCTGAGAAGGCCCGCCTCCTCGCACTTCCCACCCGGGCTCGCCGCCGACCACTGGTTCTCGACGAGGTCGGCGCCTCGCGGCGCGCTGCGGGCGGTCTGCGCGCAGCATATTTCTCCTCCTCCTCCTTCTCCTTCTCCTCCTCCGTCTCCTCCTCCTCCTCCTCCTCGTCCTCCTCCTCCTCCTCGGGCATCATCTGCCCTGTCGTCTTTTTTCAAGCCCTCCTTCTGTTCGTTCTCTCGTCCCGAGTGGGGAGCCTCTTCCAGGAGACGAGGATGGCCAGCCGGTAGCCACGCCTCCGCCGATCCTTGTTCCCAGTGGGTCATGGTATCTCAGCCCCGCCAGCCCAGTACCCCAGTGGGGAATAGGCTCCTCGAGATTCGAAGCGAGCAGCCCGCATCCGCACCCAGGGGGGGTCAATCGGAAAGGGGGGGCCAGGCCACGCCAGTGGGGATAGGGATGCTTGGATGATGCTCAGGCGCACGCGGCTCCCCCTTCCCTTCGCAGGCGATTTGTCGCTCCCGACCCCCGACTGTGCTGCGAGAAATCAAGCCCCTCAGCAAAGGAGGGTGAACTCAGGGATTCGTCCCCAGGGACGCTATTCGGAAGCACCACAATCGAAGACGGACGCCCCCCTCACGTATACCAGTCTTGGAGCTGAGCTGGGGTCTGAGGTGGCTCAGCATTGGTTCCTGCCATCAGGAAGTGGATGCAGGTTCGAGGTTCTGGGTTCGGAGAGGTTTTGTACCCTCTTCGGCCTTCCGGGGCAGTTTTCAGGTTCCGGGGCTGGCTAAAACCGGACTCGGGGTGGCACATTGACCAGGTGGACCCCGGGATGGGTCGGGGACAGATCTTGAGCAGATTTGGCCTCGCCCCTCCTACCTAAACAGATTTTTGGGATCCCAGCCAGTTCATCAGTATCGTTTAACCGATCCCCATCCCTATCCCGATTCCTACCATCTCACTGCCCCAGTTGGGGATATGCCCCCCGAAACCCAAAGGGAACAGCTTACATCCCCATCTAGGGGTGTAAATCGGCCAGTGGGGCCCAGGCCACGACCTTGGGGATAGGGATTGGTTTCATGGTGCCCATGATGAAGGCAGTCCATCTCGTCCCTCCCGTTCGGCGGTTCAAGGGGCGTTTTTGTATTTCCTGGCGATACCTGGCGCGGCTGGGGAACTGGGCCGGGAGGGGCCAGTCGCGTCACGATTCGCTCTGGCGCCGCCTGAGAGTGCTCAGGAATGGCTGATTCCCAGACTGCGCCAGCGCGAATCGTGACGTGATCAGGGGGGAGGGGGGGTGCGGGGCCAGTCACGGGCGTTAGTCGCGAACTGTGCAAACGGTGATTATCTGCAGGTGGAGTCTTGAAGGATGGGGCCCTGAGGATAGGAGCGAGATCCATTAGCTGTGCAGTCGTGGAGCCCTTGCTGCACGAAGCAGTCCAGCCTGCGCGCTGAAAACCATTGGAAAACGCCAGAGACCCACCGGAGACCGCCGACCACCGTCCAGAGGCCGCCGGAGTCCGCCGAAGTCGGCCCAGGGCCGATGGGCCACAAGTGAACACACATCAGATCCCGAGCTTGGTCTTCACTGTCTGAGCCCGCTGCTCTCTCAGGGCCTCCCTCCCCTCCCCCCGAGCCGCCGACGCTCGACTGGGCCGAGGCCTCGGTGAGCGCGGGGCGTCGGCCGCCCGCGACCGCTTGTTCGAGGATGGACAGAACCCCCAACAGTGACACGTCGATTAGTGAATTGTCCGTTTTCGGTTCTCGAGAGGGCGCCGTGGCCGTTCTTTTCCAGGCTTGCGCCCGCCAGGTTTGGGCCTCCGGTCGTTTTCACTAAACCACGTTTTACTAAAGGGGGGTCTGTCCATCCCCGACTTGTGCGAGCCCTGGCCTCCTGCGGGTCCATAGCCGTCGTCTTGGTGTCTGCCCGGGGCAGCATTCACGGGCGGCGGCGGGCTCCGGGGGGCACGCAGCGGCCCTTCCGTCTCGGAGGTGGACCAGCCTCCTACGTACCCTGGCACGTCGATGGAGGAATGGGCCGTTTTCGGTTCGCGAGGGGGGCGTCGCGGCCGTCATTTTGGCGGGTCCAGGTCCGTCGGTGTCGGTCCCGGGCCGTTTTTTTTGAAGGGGGGGTTTGCTAAAAGGGAGGTTTGTCCACCGCCGACAGTCGGCCACTCATGGCCGAGGGGGGCCCGAGGGCCCGCCCCGCCCAGGAGTGTGCGGGTCCGCGCTCGGGGGGCGCATTGCCGATGCGTCGGCGAGGCATCGGCGAGGCATCGCCGATCCCAGGTCTGTGGCAGCGAATCCTCGGACAGGAACCAGCCATGTTGATCAATATGGCATAGAGATAAGTAGGAACAAATTGTTCTCCAACGCGGAGAAAAACGTAAGCACGAATGGGTTTGAGAAAGAAAATTATCAAAATGGCTTGAAAGTGGAAATATTCTCCCAACATTGATATACCATTCCATTGACAATTTGCAGGTTGATCAGGACGCGCGCTGCGAACGTGTCGCATGGCAGCCATCATTGCCGTGGCCATCCCGGGCGCGTCGCGCTGCGCCGCATTGCTAAAGGTTCAAAGGCGCGGCGTCGCGCCGCTCGAAACAAACGCGTAGTGTGGGGGGCCATCACGATTGCAGCGCCAGCGTTTTCTTGTAGTCTACAGGGCGGCCCGCGGATTCTGTCGCGTGCGGCGCTTTCTGCCGGTTGCAGTTTTTTGAGCGGGGCCGAGCAAGTGGCAGGGTCCCGCCCGCCAGGCCAGCGCGCGGTAAAGATGGGTGAAACCTTGCGCGGGGGCGGAGGGATTACTTCGCCGATTTAGAGCAACTTCGGGGTGGGGTGCCCCCCGGCCGGGCCCGCCAGGGGGCCGCCCGGGCGCCCTCTGGGAGGAGCGCCGCGCCTTCTCCACGGGCCCGCCAGCGGCCGGCCAGGTGGGTTTCCGGCGGGCCCGGGGCCGCGAGAGCCAGCGCGGCCGGCCCAAATTTGCCCGCGCCAGCGCGGCCTGGGCCCAGATTTGCACAACGCGCCGGCGCGGCCGGGCCCAAATTTGGCCGCGCCAGCGCGGCCGGTCCCCGCTGCGCAGAACGCGCCAGCTCGGCCAGGCCCAGACCGCAGAGCTCGCCAGCGCGGCCCGGCCCGGATGCGCAAGGCGCGCCGCCGGCCCAGATTCGTAAAAAACGCCGCCGCCGCTCGGCCCGGAACTCCCGCGCGCGGCGCCCCCGGGCGCTGGCGGGCCGCCGGAGGGGGCGGGTGAATTACCCTGAAGTGATTTCAAGCTATCTCCCGGAATGCCCGCAGGACCGGCGGACGGGGGGTCAGAAAATGTCATCGCCCGGAGCTTAACAGTTATTTGAATGCCACGACGAGCTATTCGCAGGGTTCAAAGAAGCTGCATGCAAGCTAAAGCGCATATTTCTAGCTGAACAAAGCTACTGGACGGCGGCGCTTACTGCGTGGTTGCTGCGGTTGCAGACATGCATGAGAGACTTTTCGGGCCTGCGCACTCAAGATAAATCAAGATAGTAAGTCGTGCGCAGAAAGCTGGATACGAATCCCTCGGAATCAGGAAAATATCGACCGTAGCTATTCGAACTGACCTTCTTCCGGGGGCTGTCGCCAACCAGGTTCACCTAGGTTTAAAACTGTATGGTTTTCAATGTATGACGTTTTTGATTGACGTCGCCCTCGGAAAACAGAACCGCCCCCGTGGAATATTGAACGCGGTGTGATCTTTGTTTTGTATACCATATTTCTCGAAACATGGACCTCGTAGCGTACGCATGTGTGCCCATCCAGTTTTACGAACATATGACGCCCGCAAGAGGAATCAGGGCAACGCTTTTCCTGGCGGGGACACCCCATGTCCATTGCAAGGTTGAACAGTCCGCCGCCGCCGAGAGCGACGTCACCTCGACCGGCAACGTGTTTCGAATTAGCCAATCTCAATTTAGGTTGTGCGATTATCTGAGACACCTGTCCGCGCGCGCCCTCCAGGCAATGCGCAGTTCGACCGCGCGGTCCGTCTGCGCAAAAGTTGGCGCCTCCTTCGCAAGCCACTTCACAATGTGAGCTTTGCGCCCCGTAGCCCCCCAACCAGAAACGCGCAAAATCGGATTGCCATTTCATTTGATACCGCACTCGATGCCCCCATCGTAGTCCAGGAAGGCCACCGCGTCTGCATTTGCAGATCACCATTCAATTCGCAGCAGCTTGCGGGCCCGTGAAAACTTCACATCCTTTGCCAAATTAAGAAAGAGACACCAATGCAGCCCGAGCCTTCTTGCCGACATCGCGGGGGTCCAAACGGTCAGTTCTCGCCGGCGGGCCGCGGATGTGGCGCGCGCTCTACTGCGATATCTCGTCCATGAGGCTTCGCTCGAACTGATTAGTGTTGCGGCGTGGAGTCGCCGTCGTCTTGATCGTCCGATGTATTCTTTCCATTGGAAAGCAGGATGCAAGGCGCGCGAAACGTTCCTACTGTTCTGGGAGATGGAGGGCCCAGTGGCACATAGGTTTTCAATGCTCCTCGCAATCATATGCGATATGGCGGGTCTGCACATGAGCATCGTTGGGTCTTGCCAAATCATCATCACTCACGCGGCCACTGTTCGCGACAGCAAGCAAGTCGAGAACCCTGCGCCCGAGCAACGTGAAATCGACCTCTGACGAGCACGCGGCCTTGAGCTTTACCACGTCTGCGCAACATTTAGAGAGCACTGGCGCGAGTGAGAAGATTTCGCTGGCGGTGCCGCCCAGTTTGGAACGTTCAATCTCCGAGCAAGCGCCTCGAGCGCGAGCGCGCACGTGGCCGCTTGAAATTCTAGAGGCACTCACGCAAACAGTTCCCCCCCAATTGGCGCGCGCCGAGCCTAGACGTGAACTGCCCCAGTTCGTCGCAGAGGACGCCCTCGCGCGAGTTAGACGCGCGCCCAGTCCCAGCCAAAGCGAGAAGCCAGCGGGACCTGCAGGCGCAGGCCTTGCATCCGACCAGTTGCCGCGCAATTGAACCCGCGTCGCGCTTCCAGTCTCTCAGCTTCGCCGCGCGCCAAGTTCCCCCATGCCTCTGTCAACCTCGTTTGGGGCGAAGCCAAGGGGTCAACGCGCGGGCGGAACTCCGAGACGTTCAACGCAGCGGGGGTTTTGAAAGTTGTTTTTCCCGCGCCGGAGGTCGCGATGGCCCGGGTGCCCGAAGAAGAGCCGCAGCAGGAGCTTACTCAGCTGATTGATACTACACGGGAGCAAATCTACCCTGTCCGACCTCGCCGCCAGCAACCCAAACCCCAATGGTGCTTCTGAGCCTTCGAGAATGTCCCACATTGTTTTCCCAGATTGTCTCATGCATAAAGAGACTGACGTCGAATGCATTGTTGTTGTCAATCAGACAAGCACGCAGCAGCGACGAGACGTTTGATGGCGTTTTGCACGCCACCTCCAGCCACGCGAAAGGGTCGATCGCCCACAGATCCAATCCCGCCCATAACTCGGGCCAGTCTAGTTCCCGTAGATGAGTGCCACAACGAGTCTTATGATGTGCATTAGTTCCAATAGTTCAATGGGATGCAGCGTTAGGAACTGGCTTCTTCGAATGCTTGAGTATCGCAGAGAGTGCTGCATTCGTCGCAATGTTTTTCTATCAAGGTCCGAATGTGTAATCTTCTTTCGAGGTGGCCCACGATCAATCACTTGAGCCGAGGTGGCTGCGGGGGCCAGGGTTGCAAGAGAGGTCGGTAACGGCTGCCCTGTTCATGTGCTTCTCTGCTCGACGCATAGATTGCGCCGCGTATGCCGCGTAGATGGATCGCACCGCGCATGCTTTGCATTCCCTTTCTTAAAGAGAAACAGGCCCCTCCCCCCCCCCCCTGGGCTCAAAGATTCACTGGGGGCCGATGCAAAACGCTTATGATTATGACCCAATGTCCATCCAACCTGCGACTGCATACCATCCCACCCAAATCGGCATCGCCCCCCCCCCCCCCCCACCCGCCATCCTCTGCAACGGGAAATATTGCGCGCGACCGTATATAACAAATCATAAATGTGCAAGAATCCCGCGCAACGCGTCTGACGAAGTGCGCGCGCTGTCGCGCGCGCCTGCCGAAACCCTTCGAACGCATCTGTTTTCGGGGTGATTTTATAACCGAGTGCCCCAACACCACTGAACACGCACACCTACATACATATATATATATGTATATATACATATATAACACGAGGTTCCAACGCGGGTTTTCCAAAAACCAAGGAAACATACATGCGCGTTCTTGCGAGTTCTTAAGTTAAGAACACCGACGTTTTGTCATGGTTTTCAGGAAATGCTACCAAACGGGCTTCGCGCGCGCATGTCGAAATGGTTCGGTCGCCCTTGCGCGCGCGCCGTCGCGAGAAGGCTCTGCGAATAATATGACGAAGTGCATGCGCGCGCGTCGCCGCGCGCGCATGCCGAAATCCTTCAAACACGCCCGGGCCTGGAAGAAGCTCAACAGCGAGTGTCGAGCAAACCGGGTTTTCTTTTAACATAGGGTTTCGCAGCGCGGGTTTTTAGCAAAAGCGTGCGCGCGCGTCTTGCGAATTCCTAAGACAAACATGCAATTCTTCCAAACGGGCTTCGCGCGCGCGCATGTCGAAATCGTTCGATCGCCCTTGCGCGCGTGCCGTCGCGAGAAGGCTCTGCGAATAATAAGACGAAGTTCGCGCGCGCGCGTTGTCGCGCGCGCGCGCCGAAATCCTGTAGAAACGTTCGGTTATGGACGAAGTTCAACAGCGAGTGTCGCACAACACGGCTTTTCCTTTAACGTTTCGCAGCGCGGGTTTTTAACAAAAGCGTGCGCGCGAGTCTTGCGAATTCCTAAGACAACCATGGGATTCTTCCAAACGGGCTTCGCGCGCGCGCATGTCGAAATCGTTCGAGCGCCCTGGCGCGCTTGCTGGGGGTTGCGT